GGCAAAAGAGAAAGCGATAGTTTTCCGATCAAATACCGGTAGATATGTACCGGTATTATTTTATTAGAGAAATTAAATAACTAAAAAAAATGTTTTCCATTACAAAAACTGTTACAATAAGTAAACAATTGGCTTCGCATTAAGTCAGCACCCCTTCCCCGCCACCAAAATAAAATATAATATAATCCGAGACTGCATGCAATTAAAGTAAATACAAAAATACGATAGTATTGAATTTGAATGTAATCCTAATTTAGTTCAAAGAGATCGAAAAATATTCAATATTTCAGTAATGACTTACTGTTGACTTGGATGTAGAGCGAGATTGACTGAATAGGAGAGGCGCATGCGTACCATCCTTCACTACTACTTTGGATGTTGATAATCGCCAATCTTAGATACTGTTCATTATTTAAAATGAACTCATGAAATCCATCAACCACTCTGAAATTTTAAGACAATCATTTTTGAAAATGTATGCATTAGTGAGAGTTCCGATTTTTAAATTGTTTTATGAAACGCTAAAAGCGTAATAATAGTCGATAAAAAAATAATTTTAGCATAACGCACGAATACAGAGCTAGCTGCCTCTTCTTTTGAAAAATGACGGTACAACAAATGGAAACAAATTAATCTTGAAATTAACTCGCGCATTTTGAAATTATATAACTTGAGCATAAAGATCAGTTAAGTGTAAAATGTTTATTCTTAATTTTATACCAGATAATGATAAACCTTATAATTTTATCTTTGTAGAATAAATTGACTTTTTTGATTCTCTGACATATACTACGTTTTGCAATACACTTTAAACAAAGAAACTAAAACTATTACCGATACCTTTGTTGGTTTTCCATTATTCTATACCAATTAAAGATTCCAGATTCAAATAAAGTTTCGCTGGAGTCACCAACCGAGCAGTCGATTACTACGTCACTTCCGGCATATACAACGACGTTTGTTTGGTTCACTCTTTCCATCGATGTAGTCCTCAATTCAAAGGCAAGATCTAATGATAGACAGAGTATTAACCTTATATATTGGCCTTAAATAACACATACCCTAAATTATCAGTGTACTATATTAAAAAAAAGTTTGTTCTTTTGATATCATTATTTGGTAGTCAATCACTAAAAATATAGTTCTAGTATCTTTTTGTGTCCAATCATCATGGTCAAAATAAATAAAAAATTAAATGCAAAATAACTAAAGATTTCTATTTTGGCTTATAATTAGGGTGGCTTATAAACTGGTAACATAGATATCCACCACAATTATAGGGGCAACTTTGTCCCTGGGATTTAAGTATTGCCTAGAGTTCATTGTCTACCATCACTGGACCCGTGCATATTGGTTGGATAATAATTTTTGAAAGTGGTTTCTTGCTGTATTTTCTATCTACAGCTTCTCAATGGTATTTTAAATTGGATCGGCCGGCCTTTGGCTACACAAGCTAATATTTTGGTCGCCTTATATTGTTTATGTGACATAAGCTGAAATAATATGGAGTTTACATGCATTGAATTGAAAGTACATTAAAATTGTTGAGATTGTATATTTAACCTGGTAGACAGCTCGGTAATTGACAATCCCAGCCATTGGTTTGACACGTGCAACTTTCATCGCCATTGAGAATAAAGCCTTTTCCACACCTGAAACTCCGTTCATAGCCGGTGTAGTACTTGCCACTCAAACGATTTCCTAAGACTTCACCATTAAGCAATTCTAAATCGTCCGTGCAATTCTCTATAAATAAAATTAAAATTAAGAATAACAATTTCGGAATTTCAATAATGTACGTGATATCCTGATTGGTAATTACATGTCTGTTCGTTTAGCAACCATATCGCCTTCATTGACCTATTTGTGTACCGTTTGTGTTAACTTTTCATCACAATAATAACAAAAACAACAATAACAACAATAATAATAATGATAATATAACATTTACGTGCCGTTTTATTGTAAGTTATCCGACGTATATATTACTTTTCACATTGAATTAATCCCATGAAACAACATATTCTTCTTAACAATGAAGTGATTACGTTCATAATATTTTTTTTATAACTCAGTGGTTCAAACATCATAACAGCATAACAGTGTCAAGTGTCAAAACAGCATTTTGACACTATTTTTTCAAATGTCAGTGCATACTAATGTTATGTATTGAAAAAAATACAAATGCCACTCCCCCAGTTTGAACAATTCTGGATCCGCCCATGTTCAATGGTTTACGTTCTACTATGACAAATGCTCGTTTGGATATCGTCATGAAGCTTGAAATCCATCTTGATCGGGGAGCAACCGCGTGGTTTACAGATTTCAGGCAAAATTTCCAAAAATTATAACTTCACTTTGAATTAAAAGCTTGCACTGTTACGTTCCCGGTGACATTGTGCTTTCTTAATTCATCGTATTGTCACAAAATTGGTGGCCTTAGAATTAACAGTAAGACATTATTCTTATTCGTAATTTTGTTGTAAATAAATCACATGGATTATGAAAAACCTGGATTTCGCCAAGATGGAAGGATAGTATTGTAATATAATACGGTGCTTTTTTTAATAATACAAAATGTAAAACGGATTTGAATATAATTAGCTGGTTACACTGCATAGACTTTGTTTCTCGTTGTTTAAATCAGTTTTTGGAATTTCGACATTAAAAAAAAACATATGTCATTACGATATCAAATAACTAATAAAAATTTACCAAAATTCGTCAAATATCCGTAGCTTCCAGAGGGATTTGCTCCCTGTAAGCCCCTGTGGCCCCTGTGGGGCTTCTCCCACACCAGCCAAGTGAGGCTCGCTTCGCTCGCCTAGCCCCCCCCCCCCGTCAGGGCTTTTGGCCCCCTGTCGGGCAGATCCTGGCGCCAACACTGGGTCTGCCTAAATGGTAGCCACATCCTCTGGATGAAACTGCCTGGAATTCTTTTCTTACCATTTAACGGCTTCACTGATATGTGTATGGTTTCATTATTCTGGCCAACAGAACAGCAATAGATGCCTGCGTCTGATAAGCCAATCGTCGGGAACTGCATACGGCTTCGAAAACTATTAACGGTCACTTTTAACTGTAAGACGGATCAAAAATTAAAAAAATTAATAACCAGCAAGATAATAATTATAGATAATTATAAGAGGAAATTTTGTTTTGTTGTAATATTAGTTTTGCTTTTATTTTTTGGTAAAGTAAATTATTTATCTTTTATAAATAATTATTCCAAGATATTATTAGGCATGTTAGTTTTAATTTTTATTTCATCATTTTCCATTTAATGTGTCAATTTTATTATTTTTCATTTTGTTAATTTTTATATTTAATGTTTTGCTTAAATCATTAATTTTTGAAATATTTCCTTTTTTTTTGTTTTTCTGTTTTAATATATTTAATCTGTTTATGTTAAAGATCTTACATTTTTATTCTTTTGTTCTTAAATGTATGTACTGCGGGTCTGAGAGTACCGTACCATTTCCGGCCATCTAGGAGTGACATCGCTAATTTTCTTACCTCAGCCCCAACCACGGTGTTGCTGAGGTGTAAAATTGGGCGGTTAAGCCCCTTTTTCCCTCAGTTTTTAAATATTCAAAAATCTGTATCTCCTTCACCGTTCCCCAGTTTTTCATCTAGCAACTTCTTTCTGTCTTAGAAAAATCAATTCTACAACATATCAATATTTTTTTTTATTCCGGAGCCTAAATCAAGCCATTATTGCGCCATTTTATTTCTTGTCCAGATTTAGTTATTACAAATACAATTTTTACCGTTCCATCGACTAACTTCGTCCAGGTTGGATCACCAAGACTTTCTGGCACTATACAGTCCAGGTAAATACTGTCTTTTTCAACTGTTGATATCTCTCGACCATCGAGCCTTCCATTTGTGTTTATAACAAATTGATCATCTTCTGCGTGATATAAGATAATTATTATGGCTTTAAAGACACTCTATGGTAACATATAAATCAGGATAATTCAAATAAAACATCGAATTGTTTATTGAAAAAAAGTAAAATGTTGAACCAAATGAGATTAATATTTAAACAAATTTGGTTTTCGCCGATGTACTAACGTATAGCTTTTATGCGTCTGCTAATACGGCGATGAAACTATTTTTTTTAAAATAATTTCCAATTAAATGCTATAACTTTGATTCTTTTAAAACACAAACGACTAGGATAAAACATTTACATTTTAAAAAAATATAACGATAGCAAAATTGCATTTACGGTTGGTGTTTATCTTGATCTCTTTCAAACCATAACCAATTACTGATCAACTTTCTTTTTCGTTTCCAAAGCTTCCCATTCTATACTTTGGTTAATCAATTGCATGCACTTACTTGGCAAACAGGTAGGAGGAGTTTCTGGAATCCACTTCCCATCTATGCATATGGCTGTTGTGTCCACAGAATCTAATTGATAACCTACGTTACACTGGAATGTCTGAATGATTTCATCTGCCTCTGGATTTAGGAAGGAAAGTTCACTGTTACCGTTAGACGGCGTCTCTAGTTGTGATCCTGAACACGTCTCTGGTAAAGATACGAGTTATAAACTAAACAGAATAGCGAATGTGTTGTAATGTTATGCACATGTTGTTTTCAGTTCAGGCAGAGACTATTGACTTCAAAACAACGAGGCAATTCAAAATTTGTCTATTATTTGTCCATTCACAGCAAGCTGACATGGCACCCCATGTCAAAAAGCTTAGATCTAAACTTTGATTTTCCATCTTACTTTTAGCACTTGCTAGCAAATTTCCTAATATTAAATCCAAACTTATGATTTATAACACTTTTGTTCTTCCACACATGACTGCTGCTGTAGCGTTTGAGGATACAAGGGCAACTCACTCATCAATAAAATTCAACCCCTAAAGAATCGTGCTCTTCTTATTCTTAATGTTCATTCTTATACTTTATCTCTCCTTATTACTTCCCTTGATCTGTTAATTGTCTCAAATCGCATCCTACTCAAGTTGGACCGTCTAGCTTTCAAGGATACTACTGGTTTTGCCCCAGACTACCTTTGTAATTTATATTCAATTTTTCAGCGAGAAGGCACTATGACTACAAGAGCAGTAACTGCTGATGCATTTGTTATTCCACGAACAAAATTGCAATATTTTAAACATAGGTCTAGCTTTCATTTTAGAGCTACGTCATTTTTAAATTCACTAAATTTTATGATTCGTCGTACAGTATTTTGAAATTAATGTTATTTGAAGTCTAAACACTAATTACATTTGTACAATTTAAACCTTTTTATTTTTATTTTGTATTGATGATGTTTGCCTCTTATTTTGTATTATTCGTTATTGTTATTAAAATTATTTTTATGAATCTATTATTTTTCATAAAATGTTTTTTTCAAATATTTATATTTTATATATTTATTCCATGTTGAATTGAATTGTATTGCTCACTTCGTTATTCTTTTATGTTTAAGGGCCCCTTAAAGTCAGCGTTGCTGCTTCGAGCCACCCTCAGAGAAAAACAGACAGACAGCAGTGAATAAATAACCTCCTATTAACAATAAGAAATATGATGATTATAATTATGATGATAATGATGATGATGATAATGCAAGGTTGCTAATCCACTTACTAATGCATTCTGACAGAGTTCCTTCCCAAACAGCATTTCGACAAGTAATTTGAGACTGCTCTATTCTCTCTAGCTTATAGCCAGGGTTGCAGGAGAAGGTCAGAATGGCGAAATCGGTATCAGGATCCAGATAAGTAGTAGTTGCAACACCGTTAGAGGGCACAGGAAACTGAGTGCTTTGACAACTCTCTATACGAAAAGTACGAAAATCAAAAGCTAATAAAAATTCCGTCTTTAAACACACTGATACATCGATACTTAATTTTGTCGACACCAGTGCAATTTACACGCGTTTTAATATAAATGAAAAACACTATTCTTACGCTATATTACCATAGTTGATTTTCAATGCGAATTCCAAGCGGGCAAGCGGGCAGATGCAACAACGACAGACAAAGTTGGCTGCAACAAACGTTTGCGTCGAATAGTGAAAATGTTTTTAACGCAACTCTGTCCTTATCAGCTGAAGCTTGTAATGTTCTATTTTAACATTTTACTGCTATAGGGCCTTCATTCAAAATTCATATCTGTCAGTAACTAACGACAACGGGCATACAGACAAACAAACATCCACCTCAATACATTATTCATGTACCTGGGACTAAGAAGGTTGAATAAAGTAGTGATGGGCTAGAGTGCCAATCACTGTCAATCCTAACATATATTTTGAAGAAAATTACAGATTTTAGCTAAATTAAAACGTACTGTATGAATTTCCTTTGCCTTGTCATGGAGAAAGCAATGCCCTGACGTAGCTGAACTTATTCAAAGAGGGAAATAAGACGTTACGTTGAAATTATACTAGGTGAACTTTTAGGCTTGACCAACCTTGATTTTTAGTATAAGCCACTTGGGATATTTTTTTCATTTAATTACGTCAAACTCCTTTTGCTCTAGTCTGAACCAGGATTTAACGTCAACACCACACACACCAAATAGGTGCGCAGGAAGACAGACTTCTTGTACCCTTAAGTAGGCAATTACAAGCAGCCAGGGTGATAGAAAACAATTTATCAGGAATTGTTTCCATACAAGTTTCAAAATTGAACTCAAACTCTAGCCCCATATCATCTTGTATACTTTATAAATTATTTATTTTGTGAGCTTTTCAAATATAAGTAGCCTGTTACGTAAATTAAGTCAATAAAATAATAAATTACACGACGATCGCACAATGACACCGTTCTGCACAACACTCACTTTATTCATGTTACATCGTGCTGAAACGACGAAATCTATTCTAAAGTATTCTGTATTCTGAATTAATGAATCTACTCAAGAAAGTTTCAGTTGCGGCAGTAATGTTAACTGTCAATCAAATCAAGCAGTTAACCATTTACCAACAATTGTAGGCCTATTTAATAATCAACGTTAATGTAATTCTATTCTATTCAGAGGGATCCTTCTAATTTTAATAGAAAACAATACTGCTGTTTTTAACAAGCAGAATAGCAGAAGAGGAGATCTACTGTAACAACATTCTATTATTTTGGTTCGTATGCAAAAGTCTGTTTCTTGGGAGGTTATTTATTAAGTTTCATAGTAGCCTTATGATTTGTTTTTTCTAATATCAAATTGCATAGAACCCATGTGTTATGCGCTATCTGTCCAACTATGTCCATAACTTTGTGAATTTGCAAGGCATAAGGTTTGTTGAGTGTTGAGGAGGCCGTCACTCCGATTTAACCTTCATATTCCTTTGCAAATAATCGAACACATAACTACACATAGCAAAGTTGGGTTTAGAGACTTCCTACCATGGCACGTCGGTTCTTTTCCTGAAAACTTTCCAGAGTGTAAACACATTCGTGATCCATCACCAACAATGTTGTTGAACCTACTGCGGCATCCGTAAGTTACCATCTCTCCGTAAAAATACACACTTTTCACAACCGGGTGAATGAACAGATTTTTTGATGAAACTTACGTAAATTAAGTCAATAAAATAATAAATATAATAATAAATTACACTATAAGTATAAATTATTTGTAAAACACTAGTCGGATCTGTCTCTCAAATTAGTAGATTAACAGTGGCTTTATATTAGTCAACTGTTGACATGACAGCCAGATATTCCTGACATGGAATAGCAAATACCAAATATCAAGTTTGAAACGTTTCTGACTCAAAAGATGTGCTGTGGAACAGCTAATGACGACTCTGTCGAATTATCACGCGAGAAAACAGGTCGACATTTATTAAAATCGTAGGCCTACTTACTTTTAAAACATATTGGTGTCTCATCCGTCCATTGTGCTACGTTATCTATAGACATGCATCTGATGATCATTTTGATTTAATGTTGTTCCTTCTGGACACCAGAACACAACAATTTGCCAAGAGTAAAATCATCGCCAGTGCGGAAGCCATTTTCGGGAATTCCAGGATCATCACACGTGGCTAAGAGATGAGTTTAATGAAAACAATTATAAATATTATAGACAATTATAATTAATAATACTTAATATTCTTACAATATTATTCACGAATTAATAGGTTATGAATCTTTCATTAATAACCCAAAGAGTCTAATGCAAAACAGAATGTTGTGGTAGTCATAATGGCCATGGTAAAGATTTCAAAAAAGACAAGAACAGAACCATCCTGATAGAACTTTGTAACAGCAACATCGGCAACAGAGAATAACAGCAGCAACAATAATACGTCATCACATAAATAAAAGGAGCCGTTGCAACAACATTAACAGCAACAACAATAACAGCAGCACGGGCAACAGCAGCAGCTACAACGAAACAGAAACGGCAGCAACAATAGCAAGCAATAAAATATTAGCAACTGTAGCAACAAAACCAGCAACAGCAGTAGCTGCAACAAACAAAAAATAACAGCAGCAACAAGCAGCAGCTGCAGCAACCACAAACAACAGAAACAATACTAGCATAACACTAACAACAAAATACCAACAACAACGAAAACAACAATAACATCGATATGTTCAAAACAAATTAGCAGAAAGAATACTACAAAAAAAAAGAACAAAAACAAAAGCAGAAACAACAACAATAACAACAACAGAATAATTTAATAAAAACATCATTAGCATTCAGTGTATGCTAATACTTACGGATGACTTCGATGTGAACTTTGCCTCGATTTGAATCAAATGGTGTCAGGCAGACATACGTCCCAGAGTCTTGATCTCGGACGTTTTTTTAACTCTATCCGATATACATTACCTGTAAATGCAAAAAGACGGCAGTGGCGAGTCTGATGGTTATTAGGACAATGGTATGTGATGAAGATGTTTTTGACAATGAGTATAGTTCAGATTACAATAATGCTTATTAAAATAATTTTAATCATCATTATGACCACGATAATTGTGACGATTAACATGTTTATGAATGATCATAATGGTTATGGTGATTATGATAAAATCATTTTGACGAATGTTGAGACGATTGCTGCGACGATCCGGAGCATTTTATTAATTCCATTGTCTTATGTGTTACGTATTCGCATGACAGTGACGTACCAGGTGGATGTAACATGCCAGGGATTTGCCTCTTTTTGGATCCTCGAGGATCGATGATCCAACTTGGGCGACGTGATCTGGACAAGAAAATACAGTCCACAATGACAGTTGACCCTTGAACCACGGTTGCAACTTGGTTAATAGTATAACCATAAACGACCACTGGGAACACAAAGTCATTGGATGCATTTACGTTTAAAAAGAAACATAAACAAAAAAGATTTGTGTGGTATTAGTACGAAACTAACTATTTCGTTGAGGGTAATCCCGTTTTGTCCTTTTTTAAAGGTGATAAAAATGAACGAGCATCTAGCTGCATTTAACTGATGCATAATGAATACAATTACGGCACGTAATGTTTTGCTAACTATATAACAAACCTTTAAGGCATACTGGGTCCAAATCACTACTCCAGCTTCCATCTTTACATTCAAAATAGCTAGCTCCCACAAGACGGTAAGTTGAGCGACAGTAAACTTCAATCCAGCCGCCATGAAAGTAATAGTGTTCAGACGATCGCACAATGACACCGTTCTGCACAACACTCACTTTATTCATGTTACATCGTGCTGAAACGACGAAATCTATTCTAAAGTATTCTGAATTAAATCTACTCAAGAAAGTTTCAGTTGCGGCAGTAATGTTAACTGTCAATCAAATCAAGCAGTTAACCATTTACCAACAATTGTAGGCCTATTCAATAATCAACGTTAATATACTTCTATTCTATTCAGAGGGATCCTTCTAATTTTAATAGAAAACAATACTGCTGTTTTTAACAAGCAGAAGAGGAGATCTACAGTAACAACATTCTATTATTTTGGTTCGTATGCAAGAGTCTGTTTCTTGGGAGATTATTATTAAGTTTCATAGTAGTCTTATGATTTGTCTTTTCTAATATCAAATTGCATAGAACCCATGTTTTATGCGCTATCTGTCCAACTATGTCCATAACTTTGTGAATTTGCAAGGCATAAGGTTTGTTGAGTGTTGAGGAGGCCATCACTCCGATTTAACCTTCATATTCCTTTGCAAATAATCGAACACATAACTACACATAGCAAAGTTGGGTTTAGAGACTTCCTACCATGGCACGTCGGTTCTTTTCCTGAAAACTTTCCAGAGTGTAAACACATTCGAGATCCGTCACCAACAATGTTGTTGAACCTACTGCGGCATCCGTAAGTTACCATCTCTCCGTAAAAATACACACTTTTCACAACCGGGTGAATGAACAGATTTTTTGATGAAACTTCAGGTGCAGCACATGTTATAGCTACAATGTGAGAAGTAATAACGTTAAGAATGAGATTCGTATAAAGTGGTATCATAACCTTTCAATGAAACATATCTAAACAGTTTTTGCCTATTTACAGTAGGCCTGCAAGTTTTAAATAACTTTTCTATCTTGCTTATATATTGATTAGTAACTTAAATTAAGTGTATTGATTTGAATTTTATTTTCAACACAGGTTTTATGTGTTCAAAATATATACAGTGGAAATTCGAAAAAAAAAGGGCAGTAATGATTTCTAATGCGCATATCTGTATTAAACAGTAATGGTATCAGCACGATTTAGCCTAATATACCGGGTATGAAATAAAAGTGCGAAATATATTTTTTGTTCTTGAACGTCCACTGTATTTAGTAGATTAGACTGTTCATATGCATTGACCATCTACATATAATCAAAGAACATATACAGCAGGAAAAAAGTTCTTCGCGTAGTTTGCAATACATTTGATGGAACGTCCACCCTCTCTAGAACGGAGGAAAACTATTTCATGGAGTGGAGAAATTAATGAAAATAAACGTACCAGAGAGTTTTCCAATCAATCCAACCGAGCAAAGATATCGCGCCGCCGCTCGGATGGAGGAAATTTCTCTCATGAACGCCCTCATGAGGCGTTCTACTAAATAGCGCGAACTGCTCTATCTTTTACTTTTTTTTATCTTAGATATAATGGGCAAGATAAATATTGGAAGTATGTTGTCGACAAATACCTTGGCATTCAGGTACGCCATCCGACCAAGAGCAGTTAGGTAAACACACTGTGTTGGCTGATCCTATTAATATACATCCTTCGCTACACCTGAACGTAACTAATGTCCCGACGATGCGCTCATCTGTATTCGTGTGCAAGTTTACTCCCAGTTGTAACGCATCGCATTGTTTTGCTAAGGAACATAATGTACTGGATACATTTATACATGATTATTAAATGGAATGCAACAAATAAAAAATTAAAACATAAGATTTCTTTGGATTGCAATCATAAAAAATGGAAGATGAATTTAAGATAAAATACTCATGATATTTATAAAACATGTATGTGTTTATTTTCCATAAATAAAGGAAGGAATCCACTTACGTACACACCGCGGAGGACTGTCACTCCAAGTCATGTCATGAGGTCGACAAGATATTTGAGATTCTCCATCTAATACATATCCTTCTGAACAAGTAAAATTAAGTTCGGTTTCAGAACACAGGTCATTAAACTCTATTAAAGAAGGTTCTGGAATGTTAGGAAGGCTACAGCATTTTTCTGGAAATAATAATAAAACAATATGTGATATATACAAGGGTCGTCAAGCTAAAGTGGTACCTGAAAACAAGTATGCAGTTATAGGATCATGATGACTCCAAAAAGACTAAAGCTACTCTTACACTATCAAGACCTACACTGCGATCGGTACACGACCGACACGGTCGTGGCCAGGTCGTGATAGTAGCCAAGAGCAACTTGCTCGTGACAAGGCAGAGGTCGTGCATGGTCGAGGAGTTTTCAACATGTTGAAAAAATTATTGTGGTCGGTACTGGTCGTCAGTCTAATCGTAGTCGCTCTCACGCGTGCCGTAATCATTTGGCTAAAGTGGCCATTATTATTTTCCACCAATAAATGACAAGAAGGCAGGTCCTACTTCCAGTCGCAGTGCTAGGTCGCGATAATATGAGAGTTGCTTACGAGAAGTGTAGATACTGGTATCAGCAATCACTGAACCTGGTTGGGCGAGCAACATGTTCATCTACCTCTGCCGAAAAAGGGTTTATACAGCATAACTGTACTGTACTTAATGGAGTAAAAGCATTAAGTAGTCCAGTGATGCAATTCAATCCGTAAATTAGGGTACATTGTCAAGAGATGACAGTGAACGTTTAAAATTTAATATTTCGTGTAGCGTTTAGACTGCAAGTTAATATTTTTGTCTGGCGACATCAAGCATTAGACGACAGCAGGTGGAATATGTACGGCCAAATAATATAAAAAATATTGGAAAATATATTTATAGCCTACATGATGGTAAAGTTATAGTAAAATTGCATATAAATATATTTACTTAAACACATTGCATCCAAGCTCTCCCAGATACCATTGTTGCATTTTACAGACCCATTTCCCAAGAGAAAGAACCCGCTGTTGCAGGTGTAAGTAGCGATCGGTTCTTCTACACAATCCTCACACATGGTTACAGTGGCGTCTTGTAGGGAGGGTGGGTTGCCACAATGGTCTTCTGTGGAAGCAAAAGCAATAATTATGTCGATAATGATGACAATATTAATTGAATTACGATGATAGTGACGACGACGATGATGATTGCGATTCATTTAATATTGTCACCATCATCGTCGACGTCATCATCATCGACATAATTAAATTAATTACGACGACGACGACGACGATGATGATGATTGAAGATGATGGCACCTTCCAGAGATTTAAACTTAAATGACCAATCAGAACAAAGTAAGAAAATGTGCTTATTCCTCAAATACGTGTTTACACTATCTTTAGCGGAATCTTAAGCAACAATATTCAAGGGGCGGGCCTTAGCGAAATGATTCATTTAATGGCGGCGGCGGCGGCGGTGGTGGGTATGTCACTGATTGATAAGCTCAATGGGAAGGCAATTATTTCAAATTTTAGATACGTTTGCAGTAGGAAATTGAAATAAAGTACATATGAATTAAAATATAGATTATGATGATTGGTGATCATGAAAATAATAGTGTTGACAGTATGTAAAATGATGAATGCTATGAAAAGAACAGCATTCCATATTGTAGCTACAGTATTAAAATAAGAAATTACTACTCTTTTTAAAGAGTTTACATATAATTTTAAATAAACCAAATTGATTAATTTAGGTGGGCTGTGTATACGGTATATTCAAATGAGATTACACGCGTCATACCAGACATACTTACAGAAATGTAAGGACATAATACTTTGTGAAGGAGTACTTTAAGTTGTTGATAACGTACCACTTAATATATTAATACAAATAGGAGGCGGATTGTCCCATACGCCACATGCCATACACGAGAGTCGCTGCTGACCAACCAGCACGTAACCCATGTTGCAGTAGAAGTCAAGCTCAGCGCCATGGCTAATTGCAAATATATCATCATGTCCAACAATTTTCAAGATAGCAAAACCGTTGTCTGGGAAAGGAATGGGGTCGCAGTAAGATATCCTGTCTAAAAAAAACAAAAAAAAAAAACAATCAATGCTACAAAGAAAAAATAATAGTGAAATAGATATTAGGACTGTAAGTAAAAATACAGACAGTGGGTGCCACAATTAAAAAATAGAAAATGTTTGTTATATTCACGAACACTTTTATTGCCAATCAGCATTTATACCAACTAGGTTCAGCAGATATCACATTTGCTGCTTGAGGCTGAGCATGTTCCCTGTAGGCCTAATACTTGTACAAATCAAGTGATAGTATAGCACGTGTAGACCTTTTATTAATGCAGTTTGTTTTGGTCATACATACCATGATTTATGCAACTCATACCACACCGATTATCGCAAAGACATTCACTCTGGTCTGGGCAGTACCCATCGCTTTCACATGACAAGAAACACAAGTGACTGTAAGCATAGTGACGTTCACGAGCTTGGCAGTGGGAAAAATCTGTCATTTAAAATATAGTTTTCCATTATTTACTCTTGCATATATTTACGAGGTGTTACAAATTACAGTACCAAGTGTTCTTACATTTAGAATGGCTAACTTATTTGAATTGATTTCATATTAATTAGCATTAGCAACTATTACATAATTCCAAGGAGTACACAAATATGTGAGAAGGCTATATGCGTGTTGTTGCTTCATTCGTTGTAATCCAGATATACCTAGATATACAAGCAACACAGTTAATTGTATCGGTTTAATAGGGAGATTTCGCAACCTTACGAAAACAATAACGAATACGAATACGTCATTACCATTATCGTCATTCGTGCCTATAGCTGAATATGGTCCATGACTCATGCAAAACGCATGAATCGTTTACGTTGTGACAAATATGCTACTCTAGTAGGGGAAGGGTTGTATACAAATTTGATGACGTGTCCGTATTCGTTATCGTTTTAGTAAGCTTGCGAAATGTCCCTATTTTTTAATAACATCCAGGTTATAAACTTCATCACCAACAAGACAGGTAACATACCACCTTACCCTTTAATAAGTTTTTTACCGGACCACCATTGCCAATTCGAAATAATCCAACATGTACTAAAAAAACAAGGAAAACCACTTTAAACGACATAACACCAAGTTGGCTGAAAACAATATGAAGTGGTATGCCTCAGCACACCCTCTGACGAAAAAAACAAAAATCACAATTTTGGTCGTGTGCTCATTTGCATAAGCACTGGCGTTCAAAAATTCAAATAGCGCCATCTATGAAAGCATCAGCCACACTTCATTAACATTTTATTAAATATTATCTGTCGTTGAGAATATGCTGCTAAATAATATTCTACAGTAAATTTACCCTATGTGTTTCTATGTTTTGTTATATAAACATTATCTAATTGTAAAGCACTACCAGAAAACATGTAAAGCCTTTGTTTTAAAAAATGGTCTATCCTTTAAAAAAATTGTAGTATAGCAGTAGTTGTAGTAGTACGGTAATAGTGGTGGTGGTAGCAGTAGTACCATAAATGCTAGAGTAAACGCCGCGGCGCTTATAAATTTTTGGAAGCTTCAGTGCGGCGCTTATAAAAAAAATATTAGCGTGGCGCTTTCCATGCCCTTTCCCATTTTCCTATCTCACGTATTCCTGCCGTATCAGTGACCTATAATAGGTCCTCTCAGTCAAAATAAACGTTTATAAAGAAATGCTCCATTGTGTTATTTACTTATTTTAAGACTGCATACATGGTATTTAAAACCCTGTTTCTCAAAGTGTTTCATTACACACAGGATAATATACCCTAGATTAAGCGCCGTGGCACTTATACGAGAGCGCCGCTTAGCGGAAATAATCAGGTTTGTTTGGTGCGGCGCTTCTTCAAGAGCAGGGCTTATTCGAGAGTGGTGCTTGTTCGAGCATTTACGGTAGTAGCAACAGCAGTAGTAGTAGCAGTAGTAGCAATAGCAACAGTAGTAGTAGTAGCAGCAGCAGTAGTAGCAGCAGCAGCAGTGGTAGTAGTAGTAGTAGTACCTGTTTACCTATCATAATTAACAGCCTTTACCTTTTAATGTATTTTTATAATTTATGTCAAAGTGTTCCATTAGGGAATATTTTTAGACGCCTACGTAGGCCTATAATGACTAGTTATGGTTACAGTTGTCATAGTTCCTAGAATTAATGAGAATCACTTGTAGACGAATTCAATTTTGAAGACACGGAATTATCTGAAATTTGAGGAGATGATGACTGGTGGATTACAGGATTTAGGTATACATTGAACGATTGCTCCCAATATAAAATATAATATATATAAAAGAAACATCATTCGTATTGTTATTGAAACTATACATGAGTACAATATAATTCGATATAAAGACGTTATATCTCTCATAAACCTGGTAGGCCTATTAGGTTGTAAGTAACCCACATTTTTGCCAATTTGCCAATTCGAGAGTCTTCATATGGGACAATCATAAAGGCCTATCATCGATGTCTTCAGAGGGATGTTGATAGTTTTAGCATTTCATCATTAATGTTCTTTTGTTGTCGAACGCTTGAAATTCAATCGCAACCCGACTGTGCTAAACAGGGACCATGGTAATCCATACATTGCCGATAAGTTCAGCAGAATAATAGCGTAATGTCAAAAGGCCTGAGGCAGAGCCAATTAAGTCATCTTAACTTATTTTTAGTTCAAACATTTGCTGATGCATAATATTTATATTAAATATATAGTAACTGTACATATGCTAAAACGTTTGCGAAGGCGGCCCTTATCAAACTGATTAACGTCTGTGCTTATGAACACGCTGTCCAATCTATTCAACTATGCAGCATGAACACCGTCGACGAGGTGAACTTTTAAGTTACAAAATCCTTCATTCCTCATATGCATGAAGCTGCTAAATTACATAGGAATACAATTCTAAATATCGGCCTAGCCTCTAAAAGGGAAACAATGTCATAAATGATCGGGAACTTGCAACAAACATTTCAAAATAACAAAATTATTATATAACTATAATTATTATTATAACTTTTTCAAACGAATTTGAGATGAAAAAATGGATCATTGGAGGTAGGATAACAATAACAAATTACACTGGGTTAATAATTTATACATTATATTACTACATATTAATTCATGTTAGAGGCGAATTTATTTAGATTGTCCAGGATTTTTGCACGACCGTTCCAGCAATCAATCTCCTTTTTTTATTTGATCTGCTCATTAACAACATGTAGAGAAAACAACATAAATATAAACAAACTTGGTTACTCCAGCATCATTATTTAAATCCCCACCAGCCTCCTATTTCACTTAAACATATTACGTAGGCATTATATTTATGTTTTGTATGGCCCAGTTTGTGTGACCTCCATATTGTCATACTGGTAGCCTATACATATCTCAAAGAGGTGCGCTTAATTTAGCCTTTTGTATCGTTCACAGCAATCGAATTTCCTATTAACATACGATATACTACATATCTCTTGGCTGTCTGTGATGTGGTTTTAAATATTGCGACTAGATCAAAAATGTAATATCATGTGACAAACAAAACATCTGAATTTGAAATTGATTGTTCTGAGACGATTTCGAACTTGACTATAATGTGAATAGATCTTTCATTAAGCCTGTATGATTATATTTTTAATAAAATTAATACAATTATTTTAATTTCATTAACTAAACAATATGAGAGGTGGCTTTAGAGGCTACTGGTTATTATAAATCTTTTGTATGGGGCTTCAACAAAATAAGTTTTGAATTTTCTCATTGACTGGATAAATGCATTAATTGTCCAGAAACTTGTCTCAATCACACCCTACTCGATAAGTTGGTATTTTTAAGTCAGAATGAAAAATAATTAAAATAGGCACATTTGAAAAAGTGTAAAGAGAGTGAGAAATGTTCTCTCCCCGAATCTACAGCATCTCCAGTTTCACAGATGGATCCAGAGGAGGAGATGAGGTAACAGGGCGAACAGCACACACATTATTTTGATTGCCAAATAGTCCTTACATAGAAGCTGAAGGTCTTCTTGTTTTCCTGTTTTCGAAATTATGGCCCCGCGCACTCTTTCTCAGCAACTCAGAATCCCTGGGTGTCACTTTATTAGTCAAATATTTTGAAGAGATGCAACCGTTCAAATCCTGCCTGAAGATTTATTCGGTGTGAAAAACAAGGACAACTTGCGAAAGTCTGAAGACGTGTCTTTCTAGTGGTGATTGAGCAGAACACCAGGAGTCTTTACCCTACTCATTTTCGAATAGTGTACTTGCACATGGGCCATACTGCGCAGGGGGCCAACGGCTTTAAACACCTCTTCCGAAATATAGGATCTGTGGAAAGACTAACGCTTTGAATTTCCAGTGTTTAGCGCGCACACAGTTGGCTACCACCTCAGGCAGCGACGGGTCATGGCGTTGAATCAGCAATCGCGGCATTGTGATTCAGACGAAAGCTTCACCAACCTCACAGACTAGACTATTACACAAAACATGGAGTGCACAAAATAACTATACAATTGATACAGTACTTGCCGTTTATAAAACCTTAATGCATCAATAAGCTAACAAAGGTGTTGATTTTCATTGGTGGAATCAAAGGTAAAGGCCTTGATAAATAGTTTTCATTGGTGGATGAAATCATGAAGAAACGTCAGCTTAGTACAGTTCAAAAGCTTTTAAGACCATCGTCAAGTACCCAAAATTAATGTAATTCAACGAATTATATAAATAGAATATACGGAAGAATGCTTGGATAATTGCATTTATCTTTGCGTTGTGGCCCTATTTCATTTACCAAGTTACGTATCACTAACATTGCTCAATAGCCAGTCAACTAAAGAACTTATTTCAGAACACTGGTCCTGGGCGCGATCTCCCTTATTGTCGCTCTCTCAACCGAATACAGTATATTTGTACATTGCTTCTTATATGACTTACCGGGGCTTTTAGAGCATTCAAGTCAGTGGCCAACACATCCCTACCGCGTTACTATAGTTTATCAAGTCTTCTTGTGACTTCCAATAATGAATGTATTTATATCACTAATTAAGACACGCAGCCTTCAGAGAAGATAAAACAATGCTTAAAGCTTGAAATTTTTGCATTTTTTAAATTTTAGATATCTTGGTTGAAACGGCATTGTGTTTTATATCTGACAATCAGTAATAAAAAAAATACTCTTTTTCAAATCAGCAAGTTAGATATTTATATACAATAATTTTTATTTTTCAACAAATACAAAAAAAAATGCATTCTTTAAAATGTAATGTATACTTGTAATACTTTCTTCATATAAATATTACATAACTTCAAATTGAACATAGTCCATTTTAGATCAAATATAAATACAGTAAGTTTTTAGCCATCACGTGACCTAATTAGTTTATGACATTGCTTTGTTTCCCCTTTACCACTAATGTATCAGTTATATTTCATCCTCTTAAGTTACAGTAAATGCAATAAGTAGTAGTTCAAAACCTTTACATGATGTTGAGATAAAAAAAAAACCCTTTTATTGATCCACATCTGATCATGCAGCAAAAAAAAAAAAAAAGAAAATCATCAAATAAATATACATATTTTTGTGTACATTCTGTGATCCAACTGATATAAATATTATAGTTATTAAATATAACTATATTTTTTCCTAATACTAAATAGAAAGCTTATACATAACTTGTATAAACATTTTAAATAAATATTATTTTTATCACCATCGGTAGATTTAATCTTAAATTATTAAAAAATCAAATAAATATGTTTAAATATTAATATACAATAAATTATATATTATGAATTATTAGATATAGAACTGCATTCTTTGATATTTCACTAATATAAGTATTTTTCCATATAAATATTCTGTAAATTTTTCTTAAACTACATTTGATATATTGCATATAACTTATCAAAAACTATATTTTTTATATAAACATATAACTATATTTTTTTAATACTAATTAGAAAGCTTATACATAACCTGTATAAACATTTTAAATAAATATTATTTTTATCACCATCGATAGATTTAATCGAATTGAAACTCTAACCAATTGTTGATCAAACATCTAATTATCCAGAGAAACTGTTAAATATTTGTACATTTTAAAAAATCAAGTGAATATATTTAAATAGTATTATACAATAAATTATATATTATAAATTATTAGATATAGAACTG